AGAGGATGGATTTGGAAGGAGGGTTGCGGAACATGTGGCGGTGAGGGGGGCATCAAGCAACGAGGGTTGCGACGCCTGTGGGTCGTCCGGTGGGATGTGCGGCACCGAAGAGGGGGGAGGCAGACGTATTGTCGATGCCAAATGGGTCACCGGTGGGGTGGAGATCGTCACCGATGGGATGGCCGACAGACTAGTCGTCGATGCCGTGTCGGGCTCATGGTGATATTGAGGACGGTGTTCATGAGGAGGAGGGACCGGGAGTGGCGGATGTGGAGGCGGCGGGTCGGGGGGCCGCGGACCTGGGTGCCTGACGTGTGAACTGTCCGACATTTGGACAATTTGTCTGTAGATGTCCTAACTGTCGGCACCGGAAACAACCACCCTTTGCTTGGAGGTAGGTTCGCTCCTCCGACGTGAGTCTCGTGAGACGGGTTGGGTGGGTGTTCATGGGAGGATGGTTGGAGCATTCTCTCTTTTCCATTCCCATAAGGTGAATGGCGGAGAGTTCATGAGAGGAGAGTGATGTGGTGTCTAGTGTGTTGGAGAGGATGTCGGGGTCGGGGGCAGAGAACTCGTCCGAGGAGGCAGAGACAGAGGTTTCGTCGGCGATGTTATGAAAGAATCGTGGGCGGGGTGGGGCGGATGTGAGTGCGTCCTTGTATGGGGTGAGGAATTTGTCTAGGTGAATGGCGCAGTTGAGGAGATCGGAGAGGGACATTTGGGGGTCGTGGACGAGGGACGCGGCTAGGTCCTTGTGGCATCCCCGTTTGAAACCGGAGATGAATGCAGCATCGTTGACGTAGTCAAGGGGGATGTGTTGCCGCAACGCACGAACGTATTGGACAAAGCGGTCGGTCGGGCCGTTCTGTCGAAGACGGCAGAGTTGCTCAAAGTAGTTATCGACCGTCTTTTGTGGTCGGAATGTGCAGGTGATGAGATTGGCCCACTGAAGGAAGGAACGAGGTTCCTCGTTTGCGTGTTGGCGGTTAGCTCGTTCGGTGTACCACCAATGAGCGGCGCCTTCCTGTAGCCTAGTGCTGGCAATAGGGAGCCAGTGTGTGGCAGGGACATTGTGGAGGGAGAAGGCATCATATAGTTTGCTGAGAAAGACGAAGACGTCCTCATGGGGAAGGCTGGTGAAAGGGGGGATATCCGTTGACCGGAAGGATGGGGGAATGTTACCCGTTAAGGGTGTTGTGGTGGCGAGGGTGTTGAAATCAAGTTTGGGTGAGGAGGACGGTACCCGGGTGAGAAGTCGGTAGTGGGATTGGTCGGGAGGAGTGTGGACGGAGGAGTTATTGGGATAACAGGGAGTAGGGCTTGAGGTGTGGGGGTGATCTGGGTATGGGTGGAAGTGATAGTGGATGAAGTCATGAGGGGTTTTGACTGGTAGGGAATGTTTGATGATTGTGTGATGACGGGGGTTGTCGTCTTGGTGACCAAGGTGGAGGTAGTGGTGGATGAAGGCGGGGGTGTGGATGACGTGCTAGCGGAGAGGGCGGTGGACGTGGGGGATGTAGATGTGGAGGTGGAGGATGGGGGAAGGGAGGTGGCACCCGAGGTGGGGGGGGGGG